CATGGTTGGTGAGTACTGTGCAGGAATGTGGGGGGCAGAAACTTGGGGCCTGGAAAGCAGAACCCAAGGTCCCCTGGGCACCCTAGGCCTCTCCTTTGAAATATTTCCCTCCTTCAGCCCTGGCTTCTGGGCCCATGGTAGGGCAGCCAATGCTTCATCTGTACGCACAGGCACTTGGCTCCATGCTGGGATTCTTCTGAAAATGCGCTTTCATTCTCTCTCATAGCCAAGCTGGGCAGCCTTCTGGCCACTACATTCTGCTAACCTTTCTGAAAATAGAACTCCCCATCCACATTGCTCTCGCCTCTGACACCCAGCTACGTGCAATCCAAGGCTCGCAGTACCTGGAATGCTGACCTGCCTGCAGACTTGAGTGCATATTTCTTTAAGTTCCACCTCCCACAAATCCCTGGGAGGCTGGCAGGGAACTTGCATCCCTCCTGCCTCAGACTCCAGGACAAAGTCTCCCAAGTCCCTTGCCACTCTGGACAAGGCTGGCCTTTCCCTGGTTTCCAACACCTGGTCCTCACTTCCGTTGGAGCCCTCACTAGATGCCTTTACTGTCTTGGGAGTCCTTTTCCAGCCTGCTCCTTCCAGGGTTCCCCGCCCCACCCATGAACCAATTCTAAAGCCACTTTCACATTTTGGGGTATTTGTTGTACTAACAACCTCACTCCTGCTATCAATTTTCTTTCTTTTTTCCTTAAAAAAAAAATACCTGCTATCAATTTTCTTTCTGTGAAAAAAAAGTGAGGTTGTTAGTAATATATATTAGAAATAGTTGGACACAATACCTTTATTTTGTTTATTTATTTTTATGTGGTGCTGAGGATCGAACCCCGGACCTCGCATATGCTAGACGAGCGCTCTACCGCTGAGCCACAATCCCAGCCCTCCTGCTGTCAATTTTTTGACTATAAAAACTTAACACCAAAACCAGACAAAGACAACACAGAGTCCCCTACCTAACCCATGGGAGATGGGATCCAATGCCCCCAGGGCATGCCACAAACTGTGGACGGCATCAGATTCTAGATATACTAGGTATTTTCCTACACACGCACACCTGTGGCAATGCTCAATTTAGAAATTAGGCACAGAGACTAACCAATGGCATAATAAAAAAACCATAAAAATGTACCATAATGAAAGTGATGTGAACGTGGTCTCTCTCTCAACCTCACTGTATTTCACTTTTCACTTAATGGCTTCTCTTGAGCATTTCTGACCTCCAGCAGAATTCTCTTGCACCTTGGGTCAGTGCTAAGGAACAAGGGCTACAAGCAAACAGCACTGGTACTGCCAGTGCCTGTGGGTGGGTGGGGCATATGCATGGACATGCTGGATGCAGGGGTGGTTCATATCTGGACACCACAGAAGAAGAAAGGTACAAGGATGGTGAGATTTCAACATGCTCCTCAGATTGGCACACAACCTGAAACATGCACTGCTTATTTCTGGAATTTTCCACTTAACATCATGGACTACAGCTGAACAAAGGTAACACATCAGGGAAAGTGAAATCATGGATAAGGGACAACCATACAAAAGGAGAACCACAGACGAGTATACCTCACACACACAGATGCCAAGAGTCAACAAAACATCAAATCAAACCCAGCAGCAGGTAAAGGTGCGGCACCATCACACGGGTTACTCCAGGAAGGCAAGGTTGGTCTGGCACAGCAGATGGCCACAGTGCGTGAATTCACAATGTGCTCACCAAGAAAGACCACATGGAGCCCCTCCCATGAGAATAAGGGCTGAACAAAACAGCACACAATTAAAAAAAAAAAAATTCCAGCCAGGAGTGGTGGCGCCTGTGACCCCAGCAACTTGGGAGGGTGAGGCAGGAGGGATGCAAGTTCCCGGCCAGCCTCAGAAACTTAGCAGACCCTGTGTCAAAATAAAAAATGAAAAGGGCTGGGGAGCAGCTCAGTAATAGAGCACCCCTGGGTTCAATCCCCAGCACACACAAACAACTCCTGGCAAGCTACAAAGAAGAAGGAAGCTGTTCAACCTGGTAAGTGCCCAACAAAAGCCTACACCACCACACTCAGTGGAAGAGGAGCCTTCGCAAGTCCAACCCTGTGCCAAATGCCAGCCAGGAAATGCAGGGAGCAAATGGACACTTCAGTGAGTCAGCCCTGCACACGCATCATGAGGACAACCAAGTACTGACCCTACCCAGTGCTGCTGAGTGCCTGGACCGCAGAGCCACAGCATGGTGGTGCTCCACTCAGGAGCGCTCTTCTAGAAGGAGTCTGACAATGTGCTCACCAAGCAGGCGCGGTGATGTATTCCTCCAGCCCCAGCTGCTGAGAGGCTGAGGCAGGAGGACCACTTGAGCCCAAGCACTGGAGACCAGCCTGGGCAGCACCGTGAGAATATGTCTCTAAAAGCAAATAGATATGCGAGATGATTCACTGTGTGACCAGGCCACCCACTCTCAGGCTCTGCCTTAGAGAAATGAGACCTGCTCATCATACACAATGTTACAGCAGCTCTATTCATGACTGCAAAAACGAAACAAAACTGAACAAACAACAAAAAACATATAGGGGCTGGGGTAGTGGCTCAGCAGTAGAGCGCTTGCCTCGCACATGTGAGGCACTGGGGTTTTTTGTTTTTTTTTTAGAATTTTTTAATATTTATTTTTTAGTTCTCGGCGGACACAACATCTTTGTTGGTATGTGGTGCTGAGGATCGAACCCGGGACGCACGCATACCAGGCAAGCGCGCTACCGCTTGAGCCACATCCCCAGCCCAAGGCACTGGGTTTGTTCCTCAGCACCACATGAAAATACATAAATAAACAAATAAAATAAAGGTATTGTGTCCATCTACAACTGAAACAACAACAACAACAAAAACAAACAAACAAAATACAAACATGCTTCCAGGGGTGAACAGATTCCCCATGGTCATCCGTGCACTGGACTCTGCCGCAGAGCAGGGCAGTGGCACCCTGACTCTCAAGAGGCACAATGCCGTGTGCAACAGTACACCACAGGCTGCATGGCCCCACTCACACACACCAGCCAGGGAGGACAGGGAGTGGCTGCTGGGTGCGCCTGGGAAGGGCAGGGGCCTGGGAAGACGGAGCCACCTGCATGCTGCCTACAGGGGTTAAATTTCAGAACTGCACCAAAAGGGGAAAAAACAGTTCTACTATGTGAAATTTAAAAAAGCACTAGGGAGAAAACTCATTTTACCTGTACAGAGCACAGCAGACAAGCAGCAGATGTTGAAGCAACAGATTCAGGTAACAGGACTGTGGCCTCAAAGTGCTGAGGAAAAATCACCCACCCAGAAAGCTAAGCCAAATAACCTGTACCAAGAAAGGGTGAGACGGGGTGGTGCAGGGGGACAGCTGCAATGCCACCCTCGAGGTTCAGATGGCGGATGGCTTGCAGAGAGCCCAGGCACAGGAAGTCTGAGGCCCCTGGAGAAAGAATGCCAGTGTTCTTTCTCAAGACAAGCAAGACAGAGACAAAAAGAAACACCGGGAGCAAGGAGACACGCTGAAACTGGCACTGCTGTTGCATGCTTCAGAGTCAGTGTGCTGGAGAGACGTGATGGGACTGAAGTCCCAGCTGACACGAGTGCAGAGGACGACCAGAGGACAGCACAAACTGAGACGCGCTCACTGATGGGAAGAGATGATGCAGCTGAGCACCAAGGGTGCCAAACCTGGCTGGGTGTGGCTCAGAGGTGGAGTTTGCCCAGCATCTGCGGGAGACCCTGGGTTCACCCCCGAGCACTGGGGGAAAAAATAAAATAAAAAAGCTGAACACAGACCAGAGGCTCTACCCCCAGGTAGGGAGAGTTGAGAGAAATGAAAACACGTCCATGGGAAACAGCGAATGTTCAGAGACAGCATTTTCAGGGTGACTAGTAAGTGGAAACCACCCAAATGTCCATCAACCGAGTGGAGACACAAACAGGTCCCCACAATCCAAATGTAACAAAGTGGAACTCTGACACCACTCTGGGTGCCAGAAGCCAGACACATATCACCACAGGCCGATCCACAGGGTGAGGCAGATCTGAGGCCATTAGTCTGAGGGACAGGATGGAGTGGCTGCTGTCAGGTTCCTAAAATTAGTGATGTGAACACTGGTGACCAGGACATGAGCAGGGCCCTCGCCTCCCTGGAGGGCAAGCATAGCAGGCCAATCCAGCTCACAGGTCTCCCTGGAGGATCCCCTCCTCTTCTCCCCTCTTCAGCTGCAGCCCCTCTCTGTACTGGGGTGGGGACCGTCCTTGGCTTTCCTCTAGGTCCTCCAGACCTGTCACCCCTGCAGGGTGAGGTTGAGGGGACACCTGCCCCCAGGACAGCAAAGAGGCACCTGCAAGCGATCCCCTTTCACTCACTGCCCCTTCCCCACCCCAGGGACCCAATAGGTTGGCAGTCCACCACCTCCACCCGCTTCTGCTCAGTTTCCACTCCCTGACCCACTTTCCACTTCCAAACGAGATTAGGACTCTTTGCTGTGGCCTTCTTCCCAACTTTGTCCCCACTCCTCTCACTCTGTAGTTCCATTTCTTTTTTAYCTTCTTCTTTTGTGTGTGTGCTCATGCRTGCCAGGGATGAAACCCAGGGCCTGGTGCGGGCGGGCGCATGCTCTGCCACTAAGCTGTACCCGTCTATTTCCTCCTTCCCCCCTCTTTTGGCAGTGCTGGGGAAGAAACCCAGGGCCTTGTGCATGCTAAGCTGTATCACCAGCCCTTCTGTTTTTTCCAATTTTATCTTGAGACAGGGTCTCAGTAAGTTGCCCAGACTGGCCTTGAACCTGTATCCTCCTCAGCATCCCAAGTAGCTGGGATTAATAGATTTGCACCACCACACCCAGCTTCATTTTTCTTTGAAGGGAAAGAAAATGATATCAATGATCCCTCAGCTTTAACCTGAATTCATTCTAAGAATATATATTGGGGCTTGGGCTGGGGATCAGCGGTAGAGCACTTGCCTGGTATGTGTGAGGCACTGGGTTCAATTTGCAAGTACCTCATATAAATTTAAAAAAATAAAGGTCTATCAACAACTAAAAAAATAATAATAATAAAAAAGAGTATACATTACAGATAAACAAATCCCCAAACATAGAAACCCACTATATTAAAACAAAACTTTGCCTGTGATTCAGTAACTCAGGAGGCTGACAGGAGGACTGCAAGCCTGAGGCCAGTCTCAGSAACTTAGCAAGGCCTTTTCTTGAAAAGTAAAAAGGTCTAGGGATGTACCTCAGAATAAAGCACTCCTGGGTAAATCCCAGGTACCAAGACACAAAACAAGACTTTAAAACCAATATTCAACTGAGCCTATCTAAAATTTTAAGTTTCACACAAACATTTCAAACCAAGGACTGGTATCCAGGGAGAGGAGGAGGAAACCAGGTCAACATCCCAGTAGAACAGTGGACCCAGACACAAACTAACAATTCCTGTAGGGGAATCCCAAATGAACAATGAACCTAATAGGGAGGGAGGCCTGACCCTACTGTGTCAGGAAATGTGCATTAGGATGGACTGTCCACACACGGCAAAGTCTGACAACATGAAACACTGCAGGGACAAACGTGTGGGCACCTGCCCCAGAGCAGGTCAGCAGCAGCTAAGAAGGGGAGACCCCGTGGCCCAACTTTCAAGGTCCACAGAAGGTGGCCAGGTCTGTGCTGATGCTTACAGTCATCAATATTCAAAGACATGGTCTCAGGACAAAGGACCAAGTTGTGTCCTCCAGCTACACACCACATAGCAGTGGGACGTGCCCAGCAAGCCACCACACGAGGGGCCTCTGACAGGTGAGTGAAAAAGCCAGCCACCTGCCCACATCTCAGGGCACTTTCTACACACTGTAAAACATAACACTCTCAGAAATACAGAGATAGAGCTCAGAAACCCAGGCAGAATGAGTGACAAGCATGTACATGACAGCACATCCCACCCAAGCAGTCCTGGTGCTCACCCTCACTTGCTTGGTGCCTTTCTACCCAGTGACATCTCAAAACACCCAGTGGGAGGGGTGAAGGAGGTCACACTTCCTCCCAGCGGTTAACACACCAGCGAGCCTGGTGGCACAGCCTGGGACTAAGCGAGCACCCACACCCACACCCCACCCACACAGTCCTGGGAACAAGCCAGGCCAGGATCCTTGAGTGGCTCCCTACATGCAGGGAGGCCAAGGGTCTACTCCTTTGCCCTACCACAGCCAGGCCCAGGATGGGGTGGTCACATGGGCCCTTGCCTCACGGGAATCTCTGGGGAGCTAGCAGCAGGGAAAGCAGCCCCAGTTGTTAGAAAAGGCCCATGGGAAAAGAAGAAGGCTCCAGAGGGTCACCACTGCCCAGGCGGAAGCCACAGGCAATCTGAAGCCAGATGGACACAACTCACCACAGAGGTCTGAACAGTTTAATAGTGATTTCTCCTTAGCCTGATGGTGTAGCCAACATGGGGCGGGGCTAGACACCGCTTCTCAGCCTGGCCAGCACAGATGGGCTCCTGTCCTAAGAGCACCTGGGTTCTGAGCACCCTTTCTCTTCCGGGCCACACTCTGCAGACAGAGGCCCTTCTCCCAGCTTAGATCACACCTCCTTTCTGATGACTACACCAAAGGCACCAGGCCACCCACCACACTCCTGTGGCTCAGACAGCTCTGAAGCTCCTCTCTGGGCACCCCACCCAGGAACTCTCCCCACACTACACAGAAAACAGTGAGGGCAGTTCTGATGGGAATCAGAAGAGCTCTGGCCAATCCCACCAGGAACCTGGGGTGAGCCATCCAGGGTCTCTCCAGTCTCTGCCAGCTGAGGACTGGCCAACAGCTCCTTCCTCATGTGACAGTGAGCATGGCTGCAGGCTGAGGCCTCCCCAGCACCTACACCCAGACTGCCTGCCCTGCACAGCAGGGCTCTTGACCAGCGTGTCAGCTCCTCACTGAGCTCCTGCACCTGCTGAGGGGTGGCTACAGCCCAGTCAGGTCCACAATGGCCTTGATGAAGATGGCATCATCTCGCACGTAGGAATTCTTGGCCTCCATCTTGGACACAGGGCAGAAGAGGGGGCAGCCACTGGCAATGTTCATGTCGCTGACTGGCCTCTGGAAGGAGGATGAGGTTATGTCGGGCCTGAAGGCATCGATCACGTGCTCCCGGTTGTTCTGGTCCAGCAGCATCAACGTCACCTGACGGGAGGCAGCCCAGGGAGGGGGACAGGTACCCATGAGTCACCCAAGACCTCTTGTGCTCTGGCTCCCAAGAGACCTGAAGTGGCTATACACTCCCAGAATAGAGCACTTGGGCACCCTGGCCACAATATGCTCCGCGTCTTGCTTAAGAATGTGCCCTTGTTGRTACCTGTGTGTATTGATAACTGGAACCTCAGGTCAAAGGGGCTGCTCCCTGTGCTGCCTCTGAACAGCACTGACAGAGAAGCAGCACACTGCCCACCTGGAGGAAGGCACTTCTGGAGAGAACCCCAGAMCCCCTGGCTACAGACTGCTCATCGGCACCGGGCCTCCTGCCACTCCCCCTCCCAGCTGCCCCCTCTGCTGGCTGCTGGAAGGATGGTGGAGGGAAGGGTCATCCTCATTCCGACCTGGTTTCAAGCTTCAAATCCTCAACCAATATGGACCTGGTTTCAAATACTCAATCATACCCCCAGACAGCCCTGTGGCTGCCACCTTCCTCTGGAGCACACGCTCCCAGATGGACCTTCAACCCTAGTGGTGGATCATGAAGCCAGTTGCCCATATCTTAACCAGCACTCAGTAACCATGGAACAGACTAGAAACTACCAAAGCCTCATGCACCTGCTGCACCCTGGAGGACTCCCAGGAACTCCCGCAGGCAAAGGGATGGCCTCTCACACCTTCCTGTCCCAGACAACCTTGCCTCTTGGAAGTTGCACCCCAGGGGCTCCCAGGCACTCCCCCAGACAAGGGGATGGCCTCTCACACCTTCTGGTTGAAGGGCCACCGCAGGAGGGCATCATTGGGGCCTTTCATCACCACAAAGAAGAGAGACAGATGTGTTCCTCTCCCGGTGCCATCACCGTTCAGGTAGACTCGAAGACACATCTTGTAGCCATACCTGCTGGTGTAGAAGGCTGGAGAGATGGGAGGGCCAGTTAGGGCGGCAGCATTCTTCCTGCCAGGAAGCCCTTCCACAGAGAGACAAACACAGGAGAACATCCAGCTTCCAGGGTACCTAAATATGCAGTTGGTTGCTAATGGAAATAGTTTTTCTTTATAACGATTAAAATAGCAATTTTAGGAACCCTAAATGTTACCCCTATTCTGGCAATGCACAAAATAACCGTGAACCTAGAGGTGAGGAGCAAGAACCACCCACTCCAGCATCTGGAGCAGAGGTGGGAGCCAACCTGCCTCAGGAGAGGAAACCACCAGGCAGAGGCCCAGAACAAGCTCGAGGTAATGTCCCTCACATGCAACGGTGCACAGTCAGGAGCAACAGCTGCAGCCTGGCCAGGCCACATGGGGCACTATCTGCCACTCTGGACAGAAAACGCAGCCAGGGACTATGGTGGCTCATTTCAGTGGCACCTGACTGGTTAAGGAACACCTAGAGAGCTGGGAAAGCAGCATTGTCTGTGGGCATGTCTGTGAGGGTGTTTCCAGAGGAGACTGGGGGGCCAGTAGAGGACTGAATGGTGAAGACCCAACCAGCCATGACCCAGAAGGAGCACAGATAGAAGAAGGCAGGTTGGTCTACCTCCCCTGGAGCTGGACAACCATCCTCCCTGCCCATGGACATCAGAGATCCAGGCTATCCAGCTTCTGACTACAGGACAAGTGTCTGAGGCCCTGGTGTCCTAAGGCCTTCAGACTTGGGCGTAGCCTCGCTTTTAGCAGCCAGGTCTCAGTCTGCAGCGAGACCTGCTGTGGCCTGCTCGGCTCTGCCATCTGGCGGTTACTTCTAGCAGCCCCTCTGGTGCACTTATGTACTCATCTGCTGTACAGTGGGTCTGGAGTGTTCCCCTGGGCCCATGTACTGAAGGTTTGAACCCAGCCTGTGGCACTGCTAGAAGGTGACGGAAACTACAAGGTGGGGGCCTATGGGGAGGTCTTCCAGTTAGTGGGGGTGGACCCTCGAAGGGGAGAGAAGAACCCCCAATCCACTGCTCTGTCAACTCTCCATCCGTCATCAGAGGAGTTTTGCTTCACCACAGCTCCCTGCTATGAAGTGCTGCACAGGCTCAGAATAGTGGGGCCAAGCCACCATGGACTGACTGCAGGCTTCAAAACTCGGAGCCAAAATACATCTTTCCCTCTTTTTTTCTTTTGGGATTGAACTGGGAGGCTGGCACACGTGGGCAACACTAAGATTTGCCGCTAGCCTGCAATCATCCATTTTTTACTTACTTACTTACTTTTTTTTTTGATAACTTTTTTTTAAAAATTGTCTACGGACATTGATTTTATTTATATATGGTGCTAAGAACCAAACCCAGTGCTTCACACATGCTAGGCAAGCACTCGACCATTGAACTGCAGCCCCAGCCTTCAATCTCTCCTCTTCAGGAAGTGCTGACTACACAGACTCTACCCTGTCAGTCCCACAGTCTCCCACCACACTGCCCTGGAGCACCCTGACAGTCCCACAGACTCCCCCCACATTGCCCCTAGAGCACCCTGACAGTCCCACAGACTCCCCCCACATTGCCCCTGGAGCACCCTGACAGTCCCATAGACTCCCACCACACTGCCCTGGAGCTCCCTGACAGTCCCACAGACTCCCACCACACTGCCCTGGAGCACCCTGACAGTCCCACAGACTCCCACCACACTGCCCTGGAGCACCCTGTCAGTTCCACATATACCCACCACACTGCCCTGGAGGACCCTGACAGTTCCACCCCGCAAACAGCAGCTGACCTCCTCCTGCTTCTCCATAGTTCTGGTTTCAGGCTCTGAAGAGGAATGCAGGCCAAACGCAGTCCCCAGAGCAGAGCCCCAGGCATAACACTTGAAAACCATCTTCCCTGCTTTCTGCAGCAACTGCCAGATGCAAGCACAGGTTACCAAGTCTCCTAAAGCAGACTTTTTCCGCAAAAAGGACCTTTTGCACAAGTGTGGTTCCTACACAAGCCCTGCCATGATGGCCCTTCATACCAGGCTCTCTACAAACGTCCAACGAAGGGCACTAGTCCAYCTGCAGAGGAAAGCCCAAGGGGAACACGGCCCAAACCCCATCCAGAAAGAGAAGCACCATGCCCCACAGGCTGCCCCAGAGCGCTTCCTTGAGGTCTTCCCAAGACAAACTTGTTCTTTCAATCTCACTCCAAGGAAGCCAGAGTGTATGGTTTTTGTTCATTTCTGGCCCTTGCTGAAGGCACTACAGGATGTGCCACACAGGAGGGTGGTGGTGGTGCAGGTCCCTAAAGAGCAGGGACAGCAAGCCAAGGCCACCCAACTAGGGGGCCTCAGCCTCTTAGCCTCAATCCCAGAACCTACTGTTTCATCAGCAGGTTCCCTAAGAAAACACAAAAACAGAGTGTCCTCCAGGGAGATGGTATCTAAGTCTGAGCCAATGATGGGCCTGAGCAGGGACAGGAATGACGGCCAGGGCCATGCCACCACCAGGAGGGCCTCCAGGCACAGAGGAGGTGCTCTGAAGTACCCAGGAAGGTGGCTCCAGCAGCATGCTGAGAAGCACAATCCTGACACGGCAGACACTGTCACAGAAACAAACTGGCCCACAACTAGACGGCCCTCCTGGCCCCACAGGAGTGCCTTCCGGAGGAGACCCACAGGTCCCCTTCAGAAGACCTCAGGCCTCCAGTTTGCAGCAGACACCAGAAGCCAGACCACAGGGGTTGACCAGCTTAGCCACTGACACCCGAGAGCGCCCTGTTCCTCCTTATGCTGGCCATCTTCCATCACCATGCCCACATGCCCTCCGCTCACCCAGTGGCAAGGGGCACACCCTGTGAGCAGCCAGCCTGACATCTAGCAGTTCTCATGTTGCCCAGCTGAGGGGTGCCTCAGAAGTACAGATGTTCCTGGTGTCAGCTGGGATGCTCCCAGCCCTGCCTCAGGAGTCGTTCCATGTGGCCACTGGGGCAGGGGACACAGGTGTACAGAAATGCAGCTGGGTAAGTGGGGAGCTCTGAAACAGCACCTGGGGAGAAGATGGCAGGTGTACGGCCAGCCACAGCCTCCTGGCGCTTCCTGGCAAAGTCTGAGATCTTCCATATAAAGACCCCATCGTAGGTGGATGCCTCCAACTCCAGGACCTTCTGCTCCAGGTCAGCCATGGCCAGGTCTTTCAGGCCAATGCTCCTCTCCAGCTGCTGCACCTGCAGGGCAGTGGTCACCACATGCGCCATGGGCCCCAAGCCCCCACCTCCCATACCCAGCAGTCTCAGGAGGACAGCCACCCCAGCTCCCTTGGCTCAGCTCTTCCTAGGTCTGTTCCTTCCAGGTATGAAGTGAGGCTCCAAGTCCACACTGAAGGYTCTGGGCCTAGTGTGCCCAGAAGCTGCATAGCACAAGTTACGTGACACTCCTGATGCCACCCTCCCCGGCCAGAAAGAAGAGGTTTTGGCTGTTACACCTTGCAACCCTTCAAGTCAGGTCCCTCAGAGAAATGTAGGTGGCCACAGTCGAAGGAAGGCACCGTGCTCGGCTGGGGGTACAGAAGGGGTTTATGCTGCCTAGGCTCCAAAGCTGATGAGCCACTAGACCCCACCAGGCACAAACCTTGTTACTCAGGGCTTCAATCTTGTCCTGGTCTAACCGGTGTTGCCGGCTGCAGGCCTCAGCAGTCACAGCCACCCTCTCCACCTCTCGGTTCAGGACACAGACGATGTTCTCAAAGGTGGCCGTCTTTTGCTCCAGGGTCTGACACCGCTGCAGCAGCTGTGGTCCCACCTGGTTCTGTCCCCCAGGGAGAGTCTGTGCCTCCAGGAGGGAGCTCAGCACCAGGGCCAGATGCTCCCGCAGCTGATGTGCCTCATGCTCCTGCAGCTCCTCAGCCTCCATCTGTAGACACAGGGCAGGAGGCTTCAGCCATGTCTGTGCAATGCTAATGCTGGCCAAGACAGCTGTTGCTGTGGGCCTTATTCCACTGAGGGCATATGGCCATCAGGACACAGGAATACCCAAGACACTGGTAACAGCTGGGCTCAATCACTTCCATCCTTTTTCTCAGTACCATGATGTTTAATCTGCCACTGTCCAAAAGTATGTTTCAAAAATACAAAGCTTCCGGGCTGGGGATGTGGCTCAAGTGGTAGCGCGCTTGCCTGGCATACGTGCAGCCCAGGTTCGATCCTCAGCACCACATACCAACAAAGATGTTGTGTCCACCGAAAACTAAAAAATAAATATTAAAACAATTCTCTCCCTCTCTTAAAAAAAAAAAAATACAAAGCTTCCTATGTAACTTGCTTTTAAAATAAATAGGCAGCTGGACAATGTGAGCTGGACAGTGTGGCGCATGCCTCTAGCTCCAGCACTCAGGCAGGCGACACAGGAGGGTCATTTGAACTCCCGGAGCTTACGGCCAGCCTGAGCAACACAGTGAGACCCTGACTCAACACAAAATAAACAGACAAAGGAAAAAGGAGGGCCTCCAGGCACAGAAACAGCTGTCCCTGCAGGAGGGTGGGAAGGCAGGACTAGACACCACCAGGCTTTCTTAGGGATGCCTCTATTATAGGTCTGTCTTTGCAACTAATTATTTTTCAAACTTCTGCAACACAACTTAAAAATGTTTAAAACTCTCAAAAATTAAAAGTAAAAAAACAGAAAGGGCGGGCTGGAGATGTAGCCCAGTGATAGAGCACCTGCCTAGCACGTGTGTGGCACTAGGTTAAATCCTTGGCACCACATAAAAATAAATTAAAAAAGTAAAGGTATTGTGTCCAACTACAACTTAAAAAAAAAAAAGGTATTCTGTCTATCTACAATTTAAACAACAAACAAACAAAAAAAAGACACAAAGGTACTCATTTGGGTGCCCAGTTAGAAGCATAGTCACCCAAAAAGCAGAAGGTGCCCTTGGTACCTGCCCTCTCTTCAAGGCATGAGGTTTTTGGGAACAGGATGTGTGTGATGGAAGAAATGCAACTCCCAGAGGCCTGCTGGCTTCACCAGCAGGGACATCAGTGCTGGATCAACTAGGTTACCAGCAACATTGCTCTGATCTGGAGCAACCCATGAACTCATGATGGGTTCTGAGTTAATCTGAGTACTGAAGAGGCCCACAACAGGGACCAGAAAGCAGCAGCACTGGCCCTGGTGGTGGGCTCTAAAACTACCTCCTGCATGGAACCCCACTCCTCCTAGACAACAGCAGCTCTCCTCTTCACCACTGCTCAACACAAAAGGCTATGTGAAAAATCACCAGACAGGACCCCCCACCATGACTGCTGCCACCATTGAGTGCTGCTAAGCTCATTTTACAGAGGAAGTGGCATCAGCTGGTGGACACTATCCCCAGACCTGCAAGCGCTCCGGCTGCCCACCCACCCAGCACCTCCCGAGGGAAAACTAGAGTCCAGACCTCAAGGGGCTCTCATTGTACAGAGCAAGAGGGACAAGATACAATGACTGTGAAAACAGAGCAGGGTACAGGTTGGTCTGCATGGGTAGAGAAAGGTTCTCRTGGACAGGGGCATGCTGAGGTCTGAGGGGTCCCTGGAATTTATCAGGTCAAGGGCCTGGGGTGGGAACAGATCAGCAGTCACCAACAGAGGTCAGGACCAGGGTGAGGGAGGGGTGAGGATGGAGAAGCTCCAGGACTGCAAGCAAGGACAGACCAGAGCAGCCATCCAGGGGCAGGGTGCAGCTGCCAACAGTCAAGCATCTATGACCTGGATGTGAAGTCTGGACCAGAGCAACATGTGGCACAACTGCCAGGCATAGGGCCTTTGGCTGAACAACCAGGTGATGGTGGTGCTCTTTTCTGGAGAGAAGGAAGGCAGGGGATGGCAGGATGAGTCAAGCTGGCTGTGGTGAATATGGGATGCCCAACAGGCATCAAGGGAGGCTTAGGTGCCAGGGGAACACACACATTTGGTTAAAGCCAGGACACTATGAGATCTCCAAAAGAATGAGAGTGAATGGAGTTCCCAGGCTGGACCTGGGACCTGAGGCCAGGAGGAGGGGTGCCACAAGGGAGACCCAGGGAAAAAGCAAGGAGGTTGGGGAACCAGGAAGATCTGCACTGCAGGCTGAGTGAAGACCGTGCCCAGGATGAGGGACAGGTTTGCCCAATCTCTCACTGCAGACCCTTGGACTCACCATCTCAGGGCAGCCAACAGAATGGAATCTGCAGGGGACCCGGCACTTGCCACACGTCCTGACGTGGTCATGAAACTGGAGGGGTGAAAGGGATGAAGTCACATGGGCTGCTTTTGCTTTAGCTCACCCCACTGAACCCCTTCTGCACTGATCATGTCAGAGTTTACACAGAGAACCACTGGCCCTACTGTCACGGGCTAGTTCTCATCAGAATAAAACCTGACCACCCATTTCCAAAGCTGTGTACACACACATCCTGGCCACCAGCCCTGTCAGTAACTGAGGTGGGCTGGCATCTCAGGATGCTGGTGGGGAGTCCGGGGTGTTCATGAGGAAGTCTGCGTCCCACAGAAAATAGCCACACTTCATCACATTCAGTTGCAAGGATGCATGGCACTGAGGCCCTGGGGCCTTGGGGGCCACACATGGGCCCACAACCTAGAAGTGCCAGAGGACAGGACAGGCCTTTGACAACCTCAGCATGTGCCACGGCAGGAGAGCAAAGATGGACCACAGAGGAGCGCACGAGAACCAGGAAGAGGCCCCAGTGCAGGTATCCTGCATACTGTACTCAGACCAGGGGAAGAAAAGGACTGCTGCTTTGACAAGCAGCCTGAGGGCGAGGCAGCAGCTGGAGGACGGAGCCCACGTGGGAGCCCTGCCTACTCCACTTGCAGGCTGCACCGTGAGAAACTCATCCTACAGGTCCTGGGAGGAGGCCCGGAGTGGGGTACACCCAACTACACGTCAGAATCCAGGAACAGTGACAGAAGTCCTCAGACACTGCCCCCACATAGAGGGCTAAACATACCATTAAGAACAAATGATCACCACCCCTACCCCCTGGCACCTCTAAGGACCAGATAGGAGCCTCCTATGGCGCCTCCCAGCAAGGAGCGCAAGTGCACCTGAGCCGGCAAGGAGCACAAGTGCACTCACTCTGGGAAGTGCCACTGGGAACCCCTCAGCCAGTGCTATGCAGAGCCTCCCTCAACACCACACACCAAGGGCAGGTCTGCAGACAGAGCCTCACAGAGGACTGGGCCAACACTATGACACACATCCCTGGACATCTGGGAGCACACATTCTACAGGTTCGTTTTTGGGGCACAGGACCGTTTTACAAAAGCATGGAACATTTCTTAAAGTACCATCTTTAAAAGTCAAAAGCAAAATGAAATAAGCGGCCTCAATAAGTCAGAGAACTACTTTTGGTGGCTTCAAAACACAGTCATAACCTATAGATTCTCAGAGCAAAGAAAGACAGCAATTCCATCAAAAGCCAGCCACCAGCCACATGGCCAGCACTCACACTGCTGCTGGTGCAGAGCTAGGGCACTGAGTGGGACAAAAGAAGCCACCAGGTTCAAGTCAAGAGGACTGGGTTTTCTGCAAAAAGAAGACATGACCAAAACTCAGGTAAAGATCCGGAATGAAAAAATTGCTATGAAGCCCCAGAGTATTTTTTTTTCCTAAAAAACAGATGTTTTCAGGTGAAACACTGGGCTGTGGGAAAGCGTAGAGCAGGAGTGAGAGCCCCTCCACCAGACACCCCACTCTGGAGCCCTGTGTACCAGAGAAAGCTCATAACGGATGGGAAACTGGAACCCTACTGCAAGGGGCCGTGGGGGGGGGAGGCACAGCTGGAAATGTGTGGAGTCCAGGTCCACCAAGCCACCTGTCTGGCCTCCTGAGTCTCTGCTTGAGAGGGACATCCCCCAGTGCCCCCAGCAAACCTTGGCCTGGGTTACTGTCACTCTCATCATCAGTGGCAGATATATTACCACATGTAAAGGCATTGTGGCTGACCACTGCTCCCAGGTTTTTCTGGCCTGAAGCCCACAGCCAAGGCCAGCACCTGCTATCATTGATAGGCAACATCTGCCTCACTTATRGGCATGAAAAGATCTACCTCCCAGCTCTCCTTTCAGAGAGAAAGATACCACCAAAACCTGAGGCAGCAGGGTAGACAGGGCCCAGAGAGGCTGTCAGCATGGGACTGCTCTAGTGGACCCTTAAAGGGTTTGACGAGTTAGGCAGGTGTTTCAGACCAAAAATCAAAAGCAAATAAAAAGACAAACATCCACCACCTTTGAAATAATTGAAGCAAATTAACTACCCATATGCCAGTATGCCTGCATATGTCGGGGACACAAAGAGAAAAATTTTGCATTACAACTGACCTCAGAATGCAGTACTTGGACCACAACCCTCAGTAAGATATTCTTCCAAAGACAAAATAGACCTCAAAGAAATTGTAAACTTCACTCTTTTTATTGTACTTTCATTTTAAACCTATCATCTATATACACATAGAATAAAACAAATAAATTATTATTAATGCTGCCAAAAAGTAGGATTTCCAACCAGAATATAAAGTTTAAAGAGCTAGCCATGGTGGTGACATGCCTGTAATTCCAGTGACTTGGGAAGCTGAGACAGGAGGATCCTAAGTTCAAGGCCCTTGACAACTTAGCAAGACTCTGTCTCAAAAATTTTTTAAAAAGCGGGGCTGGGGTTGTGGCTCAGATGTAGAGTGCTTGCCTACCATGCATGAGGCACTGGGTTCGATCCTCAGCACCACATTAAAAAAAAGAATAAAATAAAGATAAGAACAAAAAATATTTTAAAAAGCGCTGGGGATATGGTTCAGTGGTAAAGCACCCCTGGGTTAATTCCCAATACAAATATATAAATATATATAAGTATGTATATTATATATATAAAAAATAAATAAAAATTAGAGAGAGAGAGACAGAAAATTCTTACAGAGCTGGGTCTCTTGCTCCCCAAGAGTCCAGCAGCATGGCAAGTCCTGCCATCCTAACATGCCAGGGCCCTGACTCTCCATCTAATCACTGCATCCCTACGAGCCCTGCAGTATCCAGTCCCCTCACTCTTAGAAGCAGCAGTGTGAACTCCTTCTTCGCTCTCTCCTCTGAAAAGGCCTAGGAACACAGACAGTCAGAGAGCATAGGGCACTGACACTGAGGCCCCTAAATGTCACTTTCCACCAAGGACTGAGCTCTAGGCCTGGATGGGGACTTTCTAGAGGAGCCACACACTGGCACTGGGTACTGCACAGGTGAGGGACCTGTGAGAAACAGACCCAGGGCACCTTGAGGATGAGGGCCCTGAGTATGAAGATGAAGATGAGTATGGAAAGCTACATGCCCTAAAGACAGGAGAGAGGAACAAAGCCCACCAGACCTGCTGGTCCAGGCCAGTTCTCTCACTCTATAATGGAAAACCACAGGGAGAGGATCCATTCTGGCTTTGGTGGATGGGCAYCGATAGAGGACACTGCAGACTACACCCAGCTGGGACAGCACCTGCCACCACAGCAGACAGCCTCACAGCACTGGATACCAGGAGGCACCCTGGCCACCACACCCATCACAGGCCCTCTATAACATTCCATCAAGGGTTGAAGCTGAACTTCCCTGAGCCCCCAAGCCAGCTCCAGTCCCTGGTGAAGGCCAAATGCCACCTCAAGGAAGCACTCAGCCAAGGCAACAGGAGAACCTTCAACAGGACAGCTCAATCAGAGAAGAGAGACCTGGCCCTCAGAGCAACCCATTGCAGGACTAGGGCCATGACCCATATTTAAATGGAAGCAAATCAGACAGGCACCAGCTGAAGGGCCAAGAGAACAGGATGGGCTTGGACAGTCTACAGTCCTTCATGCTGCCATCCAGACACAAAATGCAACCACTGGCGTCATCTGACCTCTAAAACCAATGCAGTCACACGCCAGCTCTTGCTGCTTCAGCCTCTTCATCCCCTCCCTGACCTCACAAGCCAAGAAGAAAGGTGTGGCAAAGTACATTTCCGCAAGCATTCCCAAAGTCCCTCCTCTCGGGGTCCTCTTCCACAGCGCTGGCTCTATGCAGGGAAGGAGCCGTCCTCCTCACAGGATGAGCACGCGAGGAGATGAATGCCTGGACCCCAGACATTGAGGTCTCCACACCCTGGTCTCCTGCTGCAGACCCCTTGCTTGAGGCCAGTACAGCACTTCTCAGGTGCAAGCACAACTTTTTTGGGGGGAGGGCAGGGGTACCGGGGATTAAACTCAGGGGTGCTCAACCACTGAGCCACATCCCCAGCCCTATTTTGTATTTTATTTAGAGACAGGGTCTCACTGAGTTGCTTAGCACCTCACTGTTACTGAGGCTAACTCTGAATTCACGGTCCTCCTGCCTCAGACCCCCAAAGCCACTGGGATTACAGGGGTGCACCACTGCACCTGGCAAGGACAACTTTAATGTTTAATTTTCACAATAATTAAGATGTAACTTTGGCTGGGGATATAGCTCAGTAGTAGAGCACTTATCCAGTATACTCAAGGCTCCATCCCCAACAAGGGAAAAAAAAAAGTAACAAGGTATGCCGGAAAGCAGAGCACTGGCTCAACCAGGAGGCTGGCTGTCATGCCCGGGCATGCCATGCCCATCCCGTGATCCCAGCAGCAGGGAGGCTTTCTGCTCTAGGCACATCATGTGGCATAGACCCTCACTGCAAACCCTTAAGCCAAGGTCCTCAGGACATAAGGAAGCACCTTACCTTCTCCCGAGGGATCTTCTTTTTGCCACAGCCTTCACAGGTCAAAGGGAACTTGGGGCAGACTTCATGGTGTGCCTTGAAGAGAAGCAGTCAGGGGCATGAGGAGGGGACATCAATGCCAGGCACTGGGCAGTGAGGGAGGAAGAGACTGAACAGTCTCAGATGGTGGCCCCAGCATGGCACTGAGGGGAGGTGATGGAACCTTCAAGAGGTGGGGCCTAAGCTGGGCATGGTGGCCACGTCTATAACCCCAGTGACTCGGGAGGCTGAGGCAGGAGGATCACAAGTTCCTGGCTAGCCTCATAATTTGGCAAGACCCTGTCTCAAAAAAAAAAGACTAAGGATGTAGCTCAGTGGCTAAGCACTCCTGGAGTTCAATACCCAGAACTGGAAAAAAAGATAGGGCTGGGGACATAGCTCAGTTGGTAGAGTGTGTGCCTTGCAGGCAACAAGGCCCTGGGTTCAATCCCCAGCACCACACACACAAAGACAGACCTAGGGGAGGACTTTCGGTCCTTTGGGGATGTGCACCCCAAGGAGTAATGAAAGCCCAACAGCTCCCTCTTTCTGCCTTCTCTCTCCCAGAAGTTTTACTCCACCATGTACTCCAGAGCCCAAATAAACCTTTCTCTCTGTAAGTGGATTACCTCAGGTACTTGTTAGAAGGGAAAGCTACCCATAGGAGACAAGGGCACAACGCACTGCGCTCCAGGCCCTTTGGATTGCGACTACTCGGGGATGCCATGTCAGACCTGTTGGCTAGCAGTCTGGGGAGGGACAGCTTGGTGGTGGTGATGCACCACCCCACACCTGAGTGCCTGAACCTTTTCTAAAGTTGCTCCACATGGATATTATGCCCAAGCCCAGTCCCACCAAGAACCCTCCACCCTATGACCTCAGGAAAGCTGACATTGTTGTTACAAAGGCAGAGGAGCCAAACCAGCTCCACCACTGGCACTGAACCCAAGCTGTGGTCCTGCCCTGCTCCRCACACCTCCAGGTCAGCATGGCCACAAGGCTCCTGGCAGTGCTGGCAGTTCAGGTTCCTCTCTGGGCATTCCTGTTCCGCGTGGCGCTCCTTCTCCCYAAGGCGGACCAGGCCTTTACACGCAGGGCACTCAGTCAGAAGGAAGGGGCAGAGTCCTTCGTGGCAGCTCTAGAGACAAAGAAGGCATCAGCAGAGCACAGGCAGACACCACAGCACAGCAACCCGAGCACACAGCATCGCATCCCTGGGTTGTGCTGCTGTCCCTCCTGGAGATCCCCTCCACAGGTCAAAAGGACAGTGGAGGTCCAATGTGCCCCCCCCCCCACTCCCAGATGCCAGGGACATGGATCACTCCTTGTCCCAGACTGAGCCAAGGTGACACCACAATTTCTGTCTGGGTGGGCACCACCACTCAGGCTCCCTGTCTCTGCCCTCACCTCTGGAATAGCTGAATGCGCACCTGGTACCAGGGTCTCCCCAAGACAGCTTCCTACCGAGCAAGCAGGTCATGCCTCAGCCCTCAGTTACAGTGAATAAGTGGAGCCAGAGGCCACGCCCAGAGACATGAAGACACTGTGAAAGTGGCCACCCTGCAACTAGCACCAGGTCACCCAGCAAAAGACAGAGGCCCAAGACCAGCCCAGCCATGGTGCTGGAGGCCAGGCCTGGTGGGGCTGTTTTAAATGCACAGTATTACATGTGGGAGACCAACCTTGCACGTGACTGAGTCACACTCCCCGGCTGGGTGCTGAGGCGCTCAGTCACAGAAATGTGGCAGAGCTTTCCCCACCCTTCTTGGATTCGAGGGTCCATGTGTCGTGCATGGGYGTGTCTTCCTGTATCCCCATGGGTGGAGCTAYGCTCACCTGTTCCTTTGTAATATAACCCCTTGCCCTGTTTAGGACAGAATCTTCCATGGAAGTGCCTTGTGTGTGTCCCCTTCTCTTATTGTGCCCTTGGGTGTGGCCTACCCAGGTGTCAGTCAACCTACTGACAGTGGACATCATGAGGATAGACTCAGCCCCCTGAACCTGACCTGACCCCTTGCCTCATTTGAATAGCTTTTTCTCAATAAAAGGGATCAGCTCGTGCTCTCTCTCTCTCTCTTCCTGTGGACCCTTAAGGTCAGAGGAGCCGTCACAGAACCTCAAACAAAATGGTATTTGTCTTTTGTGTGGTTATTTCGTGCAGCCCAGTCAGCCCAGTTCAACTGGAGTAACCCCTGAGCCTTTTAGTTGCGAGAACAGAAACCAGGCAATTATACCTGAGGAGACCTACATTGTGAGGAAAATGGGCTGGGCCGAGGGGACCAGAGTAAGAAGCAGGGACCACCGCAGAGCCCACTCACTGGTCCCAACACACTGAGAGCCAACCATAAGCCATGTGGGGCCATGGACACAGATGAGTCACTTGTGGCACTGACCACCAACATGGGAACACCCTCCCCAGTGAGCAAAGACAAGGTGCTGGAGATTAGACAGAGCTGGGGAAAGCACCCTGTGCTGCAGTCTAGAGAAGGCAAGAACCCCAAATTGCAGGCCAATGATTGGATGAGGGGGGCCTACAGGGAAGGACTGGCAATGTGTAAAAGAACCCAGAGGGAGAAGGCAGAGCAAGAACCCATCCAGGCACCTCTCAGGCCCAAGGCTGCCCTGGGCTGGTCCTCACAGATGGTCCCAGGGATGCCTTACTGTGAGGGTTCTAGAAGAAAAGTGGCAAGACCTAGCTGAGCTCTTCGAGGACTGCATATTCAGCATGCTGTGCTAGGTAGGACAGAAGTCTAACAGGCCCCGAGCCTCTCAGTCCCCAGCCACAGGGGGAATGAGGCCAGCCTGCAGATGCCAGGGAAATGCAAAAACCAGTACCACAAGCCTGAGACAGGTGCACTGTGAGGCAGCACTGGAGGGTCACTGGGAGCACAGAGCCCAAGATTGGTTGGCAAGCTTTTAATTTGTTAATTTTTAATTAACTACTTTAAGTGCACAATTCAATGGCACTCACACATTCACACTGTTGGGCAGCTGTCAGTCATTGTCGCTATCCATCCATAGCACTCATCTTCTCAAACTGACCCCTTGAACCCATGAATACTGACCTCCTCTCCCCGGCCCCTGGAAATCTCCATTGTACTGTATCTCTATGGRCCTGAAGGCTGTGGGGACCTAACAAATGAATCCCAAAGGACAGGTCCTTCTGTGCCTGGCTCATCCCACTGAGTGCCAGGTGAGGATTTGAACAGGAGATAGCAGGGCATACCAAGTGTGACGGCACAACTGGGAGAGGGGAAATAGCATCAAAGAGGGAACATGCCTATGGCTAAGAGATGGTCCATAGTAAACAAGAAAGGACTTGACTACAGGGCCCCTCGTGGTGGTTCAGTACCTCCACAAGGACTAGGGCTACAACCCAGGATTTCCTGGACGACTCTGGAGTAAGGTCATTTTAAAGGAACGGGGCACCCTCATTCAAGTTCTGGGAAGCAGGTGGGATTCTAGACAGGAAAGCCATTGTCTATGGAGCAGCATTTTAAAGGCTCTCAGAAAACAGCCCTTTCCCCAGGGATGGGGATCTGTAAGCAGCTGAGCTACAGCCTGAGTGACAGGGCCTCCCACAAGCTGGGAAGCACAGTGCCTGGGACAACCATACCAAGAATCATCAGGTCAAAGAGGTTGGGCTTTAGGGGTGTCTCTGGCCAGCATGGACACGCTTGTGTGCATGATCCCACAATGCAGCTTTGAGAGTACATGCCAACACACTAAGGGCCGCTACATATGCAACCATCAGCAAACTGAGCAGAGGGACCTCAGGGGCTACTGACCTTTAGCAGTGTATGAAACAAAAAGTGAAGCATGAATAGTTAAGCTACTAAAACTTAAATCAAAAACTGTTCTTTGCCAGGCACACTGGTATACACCAGTGACTCAGGAGGCTGAGGCAGGAGGGTTGGGTTCTAAGTTCAAAGCAGCCTAAGCAAGTTAGTGAAACCCTGTCTCAAAAAATAAAAAGGGGGCTGGGGATGTGGCTCAAGCGGTAACACACTTGCCTGTCATGCACGAGGCACTGGGTTCGATCCTCAGCACCACATAAAAATAAAATAAAGATGTTGTGTCCACCGAAAACTGAAAAATAAATATTAAAAAAGTTCTCTCTCTCTTAAAAATAAATAAATAAATAAATAAATAGGGCTAGGGACATGCTCAGTAGTTAAGTGCCCCTGGGTTAAACCCCCAGTACCAATAAAAAATAAAAAATAAAAAAAATTATTCTTTAAAACTTTATTAAAATAAAATTCTTGTGGGGCTGGGGTCATAGCTCAGTGGTAGACTGCTTACCTAGCACACGCGAGGCACTGGGTTCAATCCTCAGCACTACATAAAAATAATAAAATAAAGGTATTAAAAACTAAATTACTCATAAGACTGGGGATATAGTTCAGAGGTAGAGTACCTGCCTAACATATACAAGGCCCTGACTTCCACCCCCATCACCACAAAAAATAAATAAACGAAATACTCATAGGTGAAATGATATGATATGTTTCCAGAAGGGAAATGTGGTAMAGGATATAGCTGAAAGAGGATTGGAAAAGGACGGTCACTGCTGCAGGTGACAAGGCCAGGAGCTCCCACGCTGACCCACTCTCAGCTTATTGCTCCCTGCTCACACTTGCTGTGCATGAAGCCACAGTAATACATAAAAATTTTCTCCTGGGCTGAGGGTGTACCTCACCAGTAGAGTGTGTGCTGAGCGAGTGCAAGGCCTGGGTTTGATCTCCCTTGATGGTTCCTGAAATTCCCAGCTGAGCCCAGGGTTCTCGACAGCAGATGTGCTGTACCACCACACTTAGGCAATCAGAACCAAGTGCAGTCTCCTTTCAGCCCACACAGAATTCCAGAAAGCTCCTTTTCTCTTTTCTTTTTTATTTTTTTGGTGGTACTGGGAATTGAACCCAGGGCCTTGCTCATGCTAGGAAAGTACTGTATCACTGAGCTGTGCCCCCAGCGCTTTTTAATTTTTGAGACAAAGTCTTGCTAAGGTGCTGAGACTGGCCCCAAACTTGTGATCCTCCTGTCTCATCCTCCAAGTTGCTGAGATTACAGCCATGTACCACCACCACACCTGGTAGATAACAGTATTTATTCAACCAGAATTTGACTTTGATTTTTAAGTAAATACAGTTGTTGTAATGCTGCATTTTCCAACAACACAACATGGGATGAGACCAAGCACACTGGCTACTCCTGCCTCTCCCATGCTGGCGTGCACACCCATATCTGAGAGGCCTCTATGCCCACCACCCAGCCCCTGCACTCAGCCCTACTGCAGTAGTGGGACCACCTGACCAGAGGCTCTCTACAGCCATTTAGATAGCTCAGACTGTGGGGCTTTTTAAAACCATTCCATTCTTTGAAGGAAAGACATCACCAAAAGGAAAAACAGAGCCAAAGGCTAAACAGAACTTTTGTCATTTTTCCAACTTTTCAATAGCCCAGACCATCAAGAGAAAACTGCTTTAGCAGTCAAGCAATAGATGTGGGCTGGGCAAGAGGAGAGGGAGACTCTACAGAGAACAAGATCTTTGTCCCTGCCCCTGATACTTACTGCCAGGAAGAGGTTGTATCAATAAAATCAGGCCATGGCCAAGCTGCCCCAGAGCAGTGCCTGCCCCTCCCACATGACCAAACCCAACTCCTCTCAGGGACTTTCCAGAGCCCTCAAAGGGCAAAGCCAGGGACTTTCCATCCTGCATGCCTGTGGGGCCGCGTGGCACCCAAGCCCATGCCTGGCTGCTATYCCTAGCCCTAAGTTGAGGCCCACATAGCCACTAAACTCACCTACCACGAGCTTAGAGGCRACAGAGACCACAGAGGGATCCAGAGCTAGCACAGAGCTGGGGACTGTTATTTTGCCTGCTCTAAGGGATCTCCAGGGTCCCTTAAGGGCAACAGGACATACAGCACCCCAGATGCTTATGCCTACATTGTCCTTGTACCCACCCAGGATCCCACCCTCCCAGAAGACCCTGATCCCATATCAGCTCCGTAGGGACCAGCTCTCTCAACAGCACTGAACAGTAGTTCACTCTGGGCAAATAGCCAAGGTTGTGACCACATGATCAGGCTGTGACAGACCCCAAGCTGGTGAGGACAGTGCAGCTCTTTTTCACCCAGGTACAGCCCAAATTGTTCTTCTGGCAAAACAGAACTGATAACCCAAAGATCACAAAGTGGAGTTGATCAAAACAATGAGGGATGTGGCTCAATGGTAGAGCACTCACCTAGGAAGTGTGAGGCCCTAGGTTCAATCCTCAGCACCACATAAAAATAAATTTAAAAAAAGGTTGTGTCCAACTACAACTAAAAAATAAAAATAAATTAAAAAAACAATGCAGGAGGGGCTGGGGATAGCTCAGCGATAAACTGTGTGCTTAGCATTCACAAGGACCTGGGTTTGATCCCCAGCACCAAAACATTTAAAATATTGGAAAAAACAAGAACAGGGAACAAAATAGGAAAAACCCACCAGGAACCAGGATTCCAACTGCCGCAGGRTCCTACTCAGTCAGAGACATCCAGGCCCACTACCAGGGCATGAAGGCATCCCAGTGGGCCTTGGCCCCAGCAACCTGACCTGGGAGTCCCATGCGCATAGAAAAGTCAGGGTTCTGAGCAAATAGTCTTTCACAATCTCACCACCCAGGACTGGATGGGATTGCATCAAGATGCCTCCCCCTTTGAGATCCCAATTTATTACTCTGCACCTACCAACGTGGTACAACTTCCATCCCCTAGTACCCATCATTCTACTGTGTGTCTCCATGGATTTGATGACTCTAAGGACCTCATATAAGGGCAATCCTACAGGGTTTGTCTTTCTGTGGCTGGCTTCTTCACTCAGCATGCTGTCCTCAAGGCTGTAGCAGGTGTCACAGGTCTCTTCCTGTTTAAGGCTGCACAACGTTCTACAGTATGGAAGGACCATGTGCTATTTATCCATCAGACGCCAGTGGATGCTTAGGCTGTTTCCACCTTGAGCTACTGTGGACAGTCTACTGCTGTGAAACRTTCGGAACTAGCACCTGAGATAGAAACTTTTAAAGGGGCATTTACTAAGATGAGAAAGAATGAGTAAGTTGGTGGACTGCAGTAGCCGAACTAGCTCTCAGCACCTCTCAGCTCACACTGAAGGTTTAGCAGCAGATGCCTAAAGGTGAGGTGAGGATCACAATGAAGTCCCCAATATGCTGACACAGGACGAGTCAGCCTCAGCTGACATAGAGACAGTGCATAAATCAGGCACCATTCACTAYTGTCACTGGCCAGAAGCCTTTTGAGATCACAGAACCTCTGTGCCCATTTCCAGTCCAACAAGATTAACAACAAGGGATACCTTGTAGACACAGGGATACAACGCAAAACCCTACCAGGCTTGGAAGCTGCTCACCACTGCTGGTAAATCTACGGCTGAAACAAACACTCTCCAGGGCTAGCATGATCCCAGGACCTCACACACATGGGTGGTCTTCACACACCTCCAGTCCTCACCAACCCCACAACAAGGGGAGCTACATCCTATGAGCAGACAAAGAAGTTGAGGCACAGAGAGGGGAAGTATCAGACCCCGTGGTACAGGCCTATGCACAGCACAGTTTGAGTTTCTGAAAGAACATTTCTAACCTATACCTCTAAGCTATATCTCTCTAAACACATCAGACAGGCTCCATCCCACCAAGAGCAGAGCACAGCTCCAGTCAGAGCTCCTGTGAAGGGCAGAAATCTCAACTCCCTGGCTCCAGCCACCCAACATACCTGCGGGCCTCTTGGAGCCGCCCAGCAAAACAGGAATGCCTGTCTTTACCTCATATTCTTTCAGGGTCCCCTTCCAAGTGCACCCATCATTGGGACAGACGGCCGGCAGGCTCTCCACCTCCCTGCGGGCAGCATTATCTGGGAAAGCCTAGGAAAAAGAAAGCCAGGGGTTAGGCCTCCTCCCAGCACCCAGCTGCTATTGAAGTGCTGACCAAAGCGCAGGACTCAACATGCACAGTCTTCCTGAGCAGCTCCAGAAGCAGAGGATAACTCTGAGGACCACCTCACCTCTGTGCACCAACCCTGAACATTCATGTCTGCTCATGGGCAATTTCTAGCTTCTAAGGTCTCATTCTGCCACTGATGTTATTAAAGGAAATTCCAAAATATTTTCTTTTAACTTCAACATTTTCAGCTTTAAGATGTTGTACTTACCGAACTGCTTTCTAAAATAGAAATGCCTTCTTCATATATGCCCTCATGAACACAGGCAGCACAATTCTGAGGCCCAGAGCTGCTGGGAACAGAGGAAAACAGAACCCCACTGTGAAAACTATTACAAAGAACAAACAGGCCAGGCATGGTAGTGCACATCTGTAATCCTGGTGAGAAGTGAATTCCTGCTGTCTGTTCACGGTGTGTGTTAGGCAGCTGAACAGACCAAGATGCAGGGTTGTGTGGGTGTAGTGCCCACACCTTCGATCCCAGTCACTTGGGGGCTGAGGCAGAAGGGTCTCCAGTCCGAGGCCAGAATCAGCAACTTTTTTTTTCCTTAATATTTATTTCTTTTAGTTGTACACCATGCCTTTATTTTTATTTATTTATTTTTAGGTGCTGCTGAGGATCAAACCCAGGGCCTTGCACACGCCAGGCGAGTGCTCTACCACTGAGCCATAACACGAGCTCCAGAGAATCAGCAATTTAATGAAACTTTGTCTCAGAACACAAAAATTAAGTCTGGCATGGTGGCCCATGCCTGTAATTCCAGTGGCTCAGGAGGCTGAAGCAGGAGAATCACAAGCTTAAGGCCAGCATCAGCAACTTAGCAAAGCCCTGTCTCAAAATATAAAGAAGGTTAGGGATATAGCTCAGTGATAGAGCACCCCTGGGTTCAATACCCAAGACCAAAAGAAAAAAAAACAAAACAACAAATGAACAGAATTTGCCCAGTCCATAAATTCCACACCATAAATTCTTCTTTTAGTCATTTAATTGTAGATGGACACAAGACATTTATTTAATTTATTTATTTTATGTGGTGCTGAGGATGGAACCTCACACATGCTAGGCAAGCACTTTCCCCCTAAGTACAACCCCAGCCCCCCATAAATTCTTAAAATTTTCTCACATTTTTCTTTTCTTTTTGGTACCAGAGATTGAACCCAACAGCACTTAACTACTGAGCCACATCCCCAGCCCATTTTTACATTTTGAGACAGGGCCTCACTAAATTGCTAGGGCTGGATTTGAACTTGCAATCCTCCTGCCTCAGMCTCCTAAGCCACTGGGATTACAGGTGTGTACCACTTTCTCACCTTAAATTAAATCAACAGCATATATCAAATGTACAGTATTTAAAAGATTTCAAACAAATGAGACAATTCAAACCCTGAAAGGGACATGGAGCTTGGACCTCTGAGGCTATGACTTATGACTCTGCTGTGAACGAGGCACACGCTCTCTGAAAAGCCACCCAAAAGGACACGTTGCAGATGCCCTCCCTAGAGGCACGGCCACTGTCATGCAGACCATGACCACGGGTTTTCTGCCACTGTCAGGCACAGAACTCACCCTTAGACCACTGGATAGCCAACACACACCAACCAGCCACTACCAAGGAGTGACATGCCCTGCCCATTTGGAGCAGTGTAGAGAGCCGTAAGCCTTACATCAAATTTAGAAACTCTGGTACACTCATTACCAACAACCAAAAACAGGTGAGAGACATCTTAATGACATATTGTACTTAACCCCACATATCCGAAATTAGCATTTCAACAAACAATAAATGATTAACTTCACATTCTTTGTGCTAAGCCTCTGGAACCCAGGGAGGATTCATACTGGAAGCGACCACACTGGGGGGCACATCTCAAGCAATAGTGCCACCCACCTGTCCCCACCCATCCTGGGTAGTTGGCCATGCGCACCTGAGGATGCTGGTTAGACAGAATGAGCAGTAGCGATGGCCACACTGGGCCTGGAAGGGCCTCCGTAGGACATTTCTGCAGGCAGAGCACAAATACTTGGCCTCTAGCTTGGTCCCGAGGAGGGTCTTGGAGAAGCCGGGCTGCAGCAGATCTAGGGAGCCAGGGGGTGTCACACTGGCTGCAGCCATGAGAGCTGTATCCCCTACACGTCACAAAGCCCTAAGGAAGAACACAGCCCACGTTACGCTTCAATTCCCAAACAAACTTCTGGAGGGAAAAAATGAAGGCGATAGAGCCCACCAGTAGCAAGTGGTAAAGGGTCTGAGCTACTGCATCTGCACAAACCTGTAACGGGGACCTAGCACAGAGCTCTTGGGAGCCTTGGTGACAGGCTAGTCCAATCTCCTGTTACGATGTGGAACCTGCGGCTCAGAGAGAGTGATGGCCATACTCTGGAGCACACGCAGACCATGACCACGGGTTTTCTGCTGGCATGAACCCTGGCTGGGAAAACAGGCACCTTCTGGCTTACACTAAAGTACACCATCCTCCATCCTGTGCCCATGGTCCTACAAAAAGCGTGTTTGAGGATGGTGCCCACCTGCCAGTTTGTCAGGTCCTAGACAGTGCCCAGAGGCAGCCCCACTTGGGCAGGGAATGCAGCTGGCTAGGCACTGGCCATTGTGCTCCCCGTTTGCTCAGTTCCTGCACCATCCAGGCTAACCACAGAGCTCTGTGTGCCAGCTCAGCCCTGGCACCTGTTGGTACTTCGCCTCAGTAAGCCCCACAGAGGAGCTTTACTTGGATTGCCCAGCATCTGGTGCCCAATTCTTCTGCCTCTTCTAAAGACTGCCAATTGAACCTGCAGAGCTGCCTCTTCCTACCCCCACCCCCACCCCATTCTCCTTTCTGATGAACTATAGCACTTCCTCACCCTCCAGCACTGACAGTCTCCACTGGGTTCCTGCTCCAGACTGAGCAGGCTTCTCTCTTCCCTGCCCATCAGGAGGCCTCACTATGCAGAAGCCCGGGAAGAGGCATGTGCTTCGGGCTGGATGATGATGGGCAAGGATGCCAAGACCCACTGATCAGGCAGAGAGGAAAAGCAAACAGCACCTAGCTGCCAAGCGTTCTCCTCCCAGACAGCAGCCCTGTCTCGGATCTTGGCAGCAACATCCATGAGTTCAGTTCCCCTGAACTCCCTGGCAGGGGAAAAGGGGGCCAGAAAGGACAATTTACTACAAAGTTCCCAATCATGGCCTTGGACCCCTCTCTTCTGCCAACRTTTTCAGGAGCAGAGGAGAGGACAAGCACCCCTGCCCCAGGAAATTTAGTAAAGCCCAGGTACACAGATCTCAGAGCTTCTGGCTAAAGTGAAGTCAATTCACATGTGTTGGGTCCAGTGGGCACAAAAACATCCATGTCACAGGCACCAATGAGAAGCTGTGAACCAGAAACGCAGCTGGACAGCAGCACAGACATGGGAAGCCCTGGGTTCCCCAAGCTGCAGCAGGACACCTCTGACCAGACAAACAGGACTGCTGCTCACAACCTCACACCTGGCAGGCCACAGCCCCAAGAGCATGCTGCTTGCTAAGGACAGCTTCCCTGCCACAATCCCCTTCCAAAAGCAGCCTATAGACTGGGACCAAGCTCTGACTACGCTGTTCTCAGGGCCCCTCCTGGTAAGAAGGATGTGGGAATCAGGTCACCTCTCAGGCAGAAGAGCAAGCTTGTACAAGTGAGGATAAGGGGGTAAATGGGGGCACTCCCAACATAGCACACAGCTGAGGGGCGGACCCAGGTGGCAGTGGGTGCATGCCCTGGAGCAAGGAGCAGGAAGGAGGGCCTGGTGTCTGAGGAAACTCCTTAGAAGAAGTAGGGAAGCCAGAGAGGCTGCAAGCAGCTTGAAGCAATACGCTCCCAAGAATCTCTTCAGAGCAAAACTCTGGTCATGTTTTATTTAAGGAATCAGCTCTCAGAACTACTCCAAAATTCAAGACGCAAACATGTTTCCCCTTCCGCTGCAGGAGCAACAGGCATGCTGGCTGCCCTGTGCATGGACAACAGCCCTAGCCAGGGCCCTTGCTGCCTCCTGGAGCCTGACTACTCTCTTCAGCTGGGCTGTGCTGGTCTACCTGGCTACAGGCCCTATCAATTTGCCTGCCCAAGGTCCAAGTCATCAAGGGTGTCCTGGTGGCCCTCAATGCCTTAGGTCACCCTGATCCTGGCATCAGCAGGGCCTCACCCAGCAGTCACATCACTGGTGGCAAGACTATGGTGAGGTAAACAACACTGTTGTGTGGTCATGACCCAGCAGTGCAGGTCACTCAGTCCCACAACTGCTCACCTGCAGCAGACCCAGTGACTAGACAGTCCCAGATAGACCCAGGAGGCTGCTAATGCCCCTCCTTCCTCCTCTCTGRTCTCTGTCCTGGATGCTGCCCCAGAAAGTGGGCTTTCTGGTCTCAAGACCACTTGGCACTTGCTAGGGACTTGCCAAACCCAGAAGATTGGGTCCATTCCTTGCTCAAGCACCAGCCAATTCTGCCCACTCTGCCTCCCACACCCGCAGTACTAGCCCCTCTCATCTCCACCCTGCCCCCTGCTTTTCTCCAACACCTGGCAGATGGAAGCCCTCACCTAAGGTGTCCTGTGCACTCAGAAGAAAACTAGTTACAGACCCTACCACCTTCACCATGACCCCGACCCCACTGGTGTCCACTGCTGTCCCAAACACACTGAGCCTCGGGCCCCTCCTTTAAACATGCCCTCACTGCCCACACGGTGCACACTCGGGCCTGCTCCTTGTGCCTGTGGCCCTGGGAGGTCACTGAGTGACCTAAGCACTGAGAGAATGTTCCTGGACACAGTAACACAGCCTGTCAAGGTATACCAGCTGATTTTGAAGATGGCTACCTGACTTATGAGCTGTTTACTATTCCTTCAAGCACACCACAATTTTTATTACATATATTAAAATAATCCCACAACACATTCCACGCAACAGGAACTGCTATGTTTTCAGACCCCCAGCAGCCAACATGGCTGGTCCCTGTGGACAACTACCTCCAGAGACCTCACATCAAACCTCTATGCAAAAAAATTACTAAAAGAAAAAAAAAAAAAAAAAAACATGGAACATCCAGAGCTCAAACCTACAAACCCTAGGAAAGGGGCAACTACGACAGCCCCTGAACAGGAAGCACTTTTAACTCAGAAATCCTGTGGCCCCAGAAGTTGCTACACCCCTGCTCACTCTTGGAAACAACTTACACATCTCCAAGCAACACTCCAACCCCACATCTGTAGGACCAGCACCATGGCAGAAGGCAGACTTCCAAGCCATTAGGTCACTGCASAGCCTCTCAAAGACCTGCAGAGGGCAGCAACCAAGAGCTGCTCTCACTGTCCTAGGCTGGTCTGACACCATAGAACAAGTGACAAGATCCTATGGGTCATCTTACACCTGCTGGACACTATCCAATTTCAACCAACACTTCTAAATTTATAATTCAATGATACCTCATCCATATGACAGAGTCCACTCCCCTAAGCACCCAACAGAAGTGATGCTGGGGCTCCACATGCCCAAGGTCCCCTGGAGAGAGAAAACACTTGTCTCTATCCTGAGGTGGATGTGCTCTCCACACCTCGTGTGCCCACCCCTGTTGGTGGCATATCTTTAAAAATGTCTTTGAGAGGCTGGTGCAGTGGCATGTACCTACAGTCACAGCTACTCAGGAGGCTGAGGCCAGAGGATCACCTGAGCTCAAGAGTTTGAGGCCTGGGCTGGGGCTGTGGCTCAGAGGTAGAGCACTTACCTAACATGCGTGAGGCACTGGGTTCGATCCTCAGCACCACA